CAGCATGGCTGGCTGGGGAATTCTGGGAGTTGAAGTCCACACATCTTCAAGTTGCCAAGTTGAGAAATGCTGACCTACTGGCTGAAAAACTGCACTAAAAGGCTATTCAAACAGACCATTTTGGTTTTCGCTTGATTTACAGTGCAGCATCTTTTGATGTCAATCAGACAACAAGAACTTCAGCAACAATTATTGTGGGTAAAGCAGCCATTTATTCTGCAAAGCAAAATAAGTTAGGACTAAAATGTCAGCATTTTACCTGATTTACCTTCCCCACTTCCTTCTCTCTGTCTTGCACACGCATGTGTATGAAGTCACCCCATCCCCCACCTCCAGACTCACCCTGCACTCAAAAGCTGAGTATCATTTAGTTATTCATTAAACCTGACTGCCAATAATCAGGTTGCACACATCATGCTTCAAACTGCCTGACACTGCCTCTGTGTAGAAGGGGAGAATGGGTGGACAAAGTGAGCGAACGCAATAATTACAGCTGTGAAAAGGCACCTATCACCAAAACCAAGCTGCGGAGCGTGGTAATCAGTGCCTGATCTCTGATCTGTGAAGTCTGTACAAACCTTTGAACCTCTGGCTGAAACGGAGAAATACAGTTATTAGCTCTGCTAACCAATGTCAGATTAAATTAGCTTCACCCAGGGTTAATGTACATTTGGTAAAAATGTTTAACCAGGAAAGGGTCCTTTCAAAAATATGCGTATGTTTCATGGGCTCGGAGAGATATCAGTATAAATCACATCTAATTTCAAGTTTGGTTGCTGCTGAAAATCAAGAGATTTTGAAAAAGTGACGATTTCATCGGTTCTCCGAATGGAGGAAAGTGAAAGACAAACTTTGAAATCTGCCCCTTCATTGGACACCACCAATGTCGTCATGCATAAACTTTGAGACATCTGAGATAAGTCTCTGGAAAATCAATGTTTTTGCAGCATAAGGAAACATCCTTTAAATATCAGGCAGATCACCGCATACCTGTTAATCTTTTCAGAAGAACAAGTGTGTATTAATGAAACATCAAGTCATTTCAGAACACGTGTGATACTTTCTCTTTCCCATAAGACTCAAGTCACAACTTTATACTCTCTTTCTGAAAACTGAAACGCTCTATTACAAACGTGAAGCTGCGTCAGGCTAATTCAAACCAAAGCCAACTCTACCTGCAGGGATTTTCAGCATTTCCTTTCCTGCACCTGAAACCCATCTCATACCCAGCAAGAACTGAGAAGTCTGGTCAGCTTTCTTATCTACCCACCCATCCATCCAAACGGAACCTTTAAGAAATAATTTAGCCAAACGTGGATCCTTAAATCCACATCACAGCGAGTTTTTCTTGATGGGAAACCTTTAGGAGATTTTTGCTGCCGTAAAAGTCCCCTAGAAGTAACATACAGCGCACCGAGTCAGCGCAGCAACCTACTGCAGAAAGAAAGTCCCGTGGCATTATTCTTACATAATACAGCAACTCTGTTTTCACGTCTTTCGACAGCAGTGGGCTAGCTAGCCTCCTTGAAATCTGAAAGCCCCAGGGGTAACGCCTCATTGTTTCAGATCTCGGGACCAAACCCATCGTATCTGCCAGAAGAACGAATTACTCCACAAGGCCAGGAGAGTCCGATCCAAGAAAAATAACAAAAGGTAAATTAATCCTGCTTTGCTCGGTTGATTTCAAAGAATGGCAACGTTACTTTAGGCATGTTCGGTCTGAAAAAAACTATTCCCATTGCATTTTAAGGTTGCTGAAGTCGGCGCGCTTGGCGTGAAGGTGGCTTAAGACTTGCCTACTTGGTGACTGAATCCTGTCCTCACCTTTTCCCATCCTTAACCCTGAAGAGTAACATATTTTAACAGACCAGAATAAGGCGCACATGTGCATTTAACCGTAGTTATTTAATGTAACATTAAGCAGACGCCTGAGCCGAAAAGGAACTTTCCACTTACCGTCCCAGTCCTGCAACAGGTTAGCTCCACTTCTACCTTTGCTAGAATAACCTTTCCTCCTCGTCACGAGGTCTGAGCAACTTTATTATACAGTACACATATCACTTTATTGGTCAATGAGCTTTGGTGATTTAAATTCCATGGCACTAGATTGCTAAGGGCACTTCAAAGAAACAGGAGGAGGTGGAGCAGAGAGGACCAACCACCCGCCCCGCCCCGAAAGTTTGCCGCAGCAGTTTGAAGAACTAATTGAGAAGTCCCTCTGTAGCAAATCCCTTTTTATACGGCCAGTTGGAAGCCTAAGAAAAAGAAAGAGGAGGCAGACGCTGACATTTTCCATCTAGGAGTTAGAAAAGAGGAATCCGATTTTGTGAAAAAGGGCAGGAAAGAAAAAAAGAGTGAATCTTATACAAACAACTCCTTCTCAGCACAAGGCATTGTGCAAATAGCTGGTGTGACTCAAAACAGATAAGATGAGGAGGAGGAGCAAATTTTGCTTGGCAATGAGATTGGTTTGGGGGGGGAATCTATTTTTATGCCACTTTAGGCGACTGGTCAGGATCTTTCCGTAAAACCAGCAGAACTTCAGCCGGCGAGCAGAGAAAACAAATAGGAACTAAAACCAAGCCCCACCTTAAAGGGTTACAAAACTCCATGTGCTTAGTTACCCAGTATTAGCTATTTCTCAGCAAGCAAGCCGAAGGAGTCTAGCAGCACCTCTCCAACCAACACGTTTTATTAAAAGGCACCAGCTCCCGCGAGCTGCAACTCATTTCATTAGAGCCTTTTAATAAAGTATGTTAGTTGGAAAAGGCGCTACCCGATTCCTGGTTTTTTTGCCACCCACCATAGACTCTGATGGTTCTTCTCCTACAATGTCAGCAAACCAGGAGTCCATCATGATGAGAAACATATTGTATTTTAGTAAAGAGAAAGGGGGTGTACGTGAAGTGTGATCTAGGGCCCAGAAAGGCTTAAACAAGGTAAACATCACCCCTTTTAAAGAAGAGGACCAACCCCCAAGTCCTGCGGTGTTCAAATCTGTCCGTTCAGCAAGCTAAAAACAGCTCAGCCAGCTAGAGGAAGGTGAGGGGGGGAGGCTTGTTCTGAAATATGACAAATTATCAGGAGATTCTGCATCCTCCTACACAAGGCTAAATCCAAACACAGTAGCCTGACAATTTGCCCTCCATCTAGGATAAGCAAAGAACAGCTCTTCCCAGAAAGAGATTCATCGTTTTGGTCTTTCCTTTGCCACAGTCACAAATTCTTCAGAAAGCTCATTTCAAACGGGCTCAGAAATCATTGCAATCAGCAACAGAGCAAGTTAGTTTCTTAACCGGGCAGAAAAGGAGCGAGTGAGAAGACACACCTCGGCCATGCACTCCCTGAGCAAGGGAGGTCTTTTCCATCCCTGATCGTACTGTAAGGAGCATGGAGTTTTTGCAAATGCAGAGGAGCTGGGCATGGGGGGGGGAGCAGCTAACAAGTGAGCTATGGGCTGGGCCTCCACCTCTGGAATCCCCTCCCCAAATAAGCCAGGACTCCTATGCTGAAAATAACAGAGACTTTCTTCTGTCCTTCCCCTCTGGGGAATTCTGGGAGTTGAAGTCCACTCATCTTAAAGTGGCCGAGTTTGGACAACACTGCCATATGAAATATGAACAAGACCAAGGAAGCTGCAGAGCTGATAAACCTACAGCAGATGTTTCAAAGCAAAGAGGAATAAATGCAGACTGCCCAAGGAAGGCAACAGTCAAGCGGATAGGGAAGAAAGCTTCAGTATATTAGTGTACCCGTTGGAGGGAAGTTCTCTGCAGCCTACAATGTTATCTGAAATAACCCTCCAAATCTCCTGTACCTTGTGCTTTGCATACACTGAGTCATGTGCAAACGAAGGCTTTTTTCTTCTTCTTTCTGGGAGACCTGCCAACTTAACATGATAATGTCACAAAAAAGTAATGATATATTTGCAAATATGTGCTGACAGGAAAATGTGAAGAAATTCAGGTTGGACATAGCCAGAAAGTAAGGGAGCTCATTCCGCAGAAACATGAAGGCATCAAGCTTCCGTAGCTTTCTCCTCCACACCCCGTTTATGTCTCTCCTCTTGTACCAAGTGAAATTTGGAAAGCCGTCACCATCCTTTAGCTGGGTGGATTGTGGTCATCCACAGTGTCAACGAAAGAGCGTGCAAGTTTTCAAGTTCCCCAGCATTCTTGACCAGGCAACCTCTTATAAAATAAGGAATGGGAGCAAAGCAAGAAAGTTAATAAAATTTGGCCAGATGTCTCCACCCTGAAATCTGCAACACGGACACCAAACTGACTGCAGAGTGAGATCTGCTCATGACGACAGTGAGTTGCATGAATCTCAATTACGGTATTCAAAATGTTCAACCGTTAGAATATATCTTTGCTCTGTATGACTTAATCCACGCTACAGATCCTGACATCCTGCCAACAATAGTCTGTTTGGGTTTTAAGTATCAGTTTTATTTTTAATACTGTAGCATTTTCTTGCTGATTCACACATATAAGGAGGTAACAGCAAAAGCATTTTCCATGTGATAACACCGCGAGGGAAAAGATGCACTACTCTTAAAATTTACATTTTGCCACATTCTGGTACATTTTTGAAGATTTATCTTGATTGCTGAAGTTTTCTAGTTGTAATAAACAATTTTTTCCCCTCATGATTCATCACCAACACAGCAATTCAATGTCTTTACATTTAAAAGCGTATTACAATCATCAGACGACTGATAGAAAAAGGCAGACACCACCCAAACCTTGAATAAATCAGGCAATGAATGTAGCACGAATGGCTCCAAAGCATTTTAAGAAATATGTGTTGAACACACAAAGCTTAAGCAATATGGTTAGTGCTATTCTGATAAGAATAGTATATGCCTTTTCTGATCTGCGCTTCCTATTTGCTAAGAAAAATATTGTATAAACGAAGCGACGGTCTTTGTAAAATGAACATCATCGTGCACATCTAACCAACATGCTCGTTTTATTATGGTGGCATGTTCAGGTCTCAAATGGTTTATTCCTATGTATTCCGTGATGGTTTCAGGTTTAAGCCCTTGAAAGAGTATCTAGCAGAGGCCCAAAGTATATGAGCAATAACTAGGAATCTCTCCACGATCTTGATAATTTGTTTTTTCAGAAATTATTAGCTGGCCAGCCAAAGAAGTAACGGAGTTGAAACAAAACAACCCTGGGAGAAAACACCTGACTCTGAACTCTCCTCTCGGAAAACAAATGAAGCTTGTCATCTTCAAAACAACGTTGAGCTGGCTGAGCTATCGCAAGAGTTCAAAGGGCAGAAAACACAACGGCCACTTTTGATATTGGTGGAAAAGAGCAGAATCAGGCACAGCAGTCAACTTACATTTTGTAGGCAATCACTGGAAACAAGGATAATTTCTAACCTGGGGTAGGACTTTTGAACCACATGGCCTAGCTGAGCGATAAAGGGATCACCAGTCGGATGTTGTAGGAGCAACAATATTTACCATTAAGTTTGGGAGAAAAACCCTTCTGTTTCTAGCTTGAGAAAGAGAGACTAGTGTTCGGCTTGCAGCTTCCTACGTATCGCAACAGATTCGCTCTTCTGCTCTTTTTCTTCACCCACCTGTAAAGAGGCTCAAGATTGCCCACCATTCAGATTATGACTTTGGAAGTCTTGGGGCATGGTTTACATAACCTTCACAGTCCATCAACTTATTTTAAACAAACTAGTGGACTACTAGTTTGACATTAGGAAGAGTCTAGCAGCACCTTTGCCGAGTAATGAAGATACAAAAAAGCATCTGATGAAGGCAACTTCTTCAGATGCCTTTTCATAATGTTTATTGGATGGAAAAGGTGCTACCATACTCCTTCTGATTTCTTACCACCACAGCTCTCCTCCTACAATGTCTCCTCCTAGTTTGAAAGAAAGAGCTACTGCCCACAAAGGGATTTTCCATTTTTAATAGATATAGAGGGAAGAGATTTATTTTGGGTTCTAAAGTTAGCAGCTTTTCCATCTGCTTAAACATGTGTTTAAACAAGCTGTGTTTGTTATCACAATAAGATCTGGAATCATTAGCACTAACAAGCCATTTTATGAAGGTGGGCGTTGAGTAGATTTGAGCCTATAAAATAATATGTATTTCTGGTAGACCTGCCAGGTATTTATCGTGCACTTTATCCTAACTCACTGTACACCGTGCACTGTTTTTCTACCAAAATTGCCCATTGGGTAAAAACTTCCTTATCCAAACGGCATTTCTTATAGCTATCCCTCTAGGTTACAGCTCAAAATCCCACCTAAAAGGGAAGGAAGACAATCACAGCATAGAAGTCAAAAGCCATCTCTAATTCTTCCCTAAGACACTTGATTTTTCTCTCTTTTGCATACTTCTAGTGCCATTCATTTATGATATTCGTTGTCACACATTTTCAAAAGGCCTGGAATATATGGTATTTAATGGCTGGCAATATCTTGTTGATTAAGTCCTTCCTTGATATCTTGTTATCTGGCTGATATTTATATGGAAACATAACACTTTCCTGGTAAATATAAATACAGTTTATGTCCTAGGGCAGGGTTCCTCAAGCTTGGCAACTTTAAGACGGGTGGACTTCAACTCCCAGA